CAATCCCCATTAAAATACCATCATCATACTTTCAAGATTTGGAAAAAAATAATTCTTCATTTTGTATGGAACCAGAAAAAACCTTGTATAGCCTAGGCAATTCTTAGTAATAGAAACAAAGCCAGAGGCATCACCCAACCTTTAGGTATACTATAAAGCCATAGTGATCAAAACAGTATGGTATTAACACAAAAATAGAGACATAGACATTTGGAACTTAATAGAAAACCATGAGATGAAACTAACTTCTTGCATCCACCTGATCTTTGATAAACCAAACAAGAACCTACACTGGAAAAATGAATCCATATTCAATAAATGGTGTGGGGAGAACTGGATGATCACATGTAAAAGACTGAAACTGGACCTGCACTTTTCACCACTTACAAAAATTGATTCAAGGTGGATAAAAGATTTAAATCTAAGGCATGAGACAATAAAAGACCTAAAGAAATTATGGGGAAAACAATTGAGGATATGAGCCTGGGGAAAAGATTTTATGAAGAAGATTTCCATAGCAACTGCATCAGCAACAAAAATAAATAAATAGGACTTAATTAAACTGAAAATCTTCTGAAAATCAAGGAGATGACAACCAAAACAAATAGACAAACTTCATATTGGGACAAGATATTTGCATATTATGAATCAGACAAAAGCTTGATAACTAGAATCTACAGAGAACTCAAATTAATCAATGACAACAACAACAAAAAAAGAGCCAACAATCCTCCCATATATCACTGGGCAAGAGACATGAATAGAACTTTCTCTAAAGAAAACAGATGAATACCTAGCAAACATATAAAAAAATGCTCATTGTCTCTGATCATCAGAGAAATGCAAATCAAAACCACCCTGAGATATCACCTAACCCCAGTGAGAATGACCCCACATCACAAAGTCTCAAAGTGACAGATGCTGGCATGGATGTGGAGAGAAGGCAACACTTTTACACTGTTGGTGGGACTACAAACTAATACAATCTTTCTGGAAGTAAGTATGGAGAAGTACTAAGTTCCTCAAAGAACTCAAATTAGACCTCCCATTTGATCCTGCAATCCCACTACCAGACATCTACCCAGAAGAAAAAAAGTCATTTTATCATAAGTACATCTGCACTAAATTGTTTATTGCAGCTCAATTTACAATTGCCAAAATGTGAAAACAACCTAAATGCCCACCAACTCAGAAATGGATTAACAAGCTGAGTTACATGTATACCATGGAATACCATTCAGCCATTAAAAAGATGGAGACTTTACATCTTTTGTATCTATCTGGATTGAGTTGGAACACATTCTTCTTAGTAAAGCATCACAAGAACGCAGGAGCAAGAATCCAATGCACTCAATTCTAATATAAAGGCAGCAGATGATCTAATACAAGGTGGTGGGTAGGGGAATGGAGGAGTGAGTAGAGGGGAAGAGGGAGGGGGATAGTGGGTCATGGTGCGTGGCACATCTTTTGGGGGTGAGACACAATTATAAGAGGGACTTTACCTAACAGATGCAATCAGTGTAACCTAATTCTTTGTACCCTCACTGACTCCCAAACAGCAACAACAAAAAGAATGATTTTAGCTCTGGGAATTTTGTAAATGCAGGTTAAGGAAGTTTCCTTTTATCCCTAGTTTTCATTTCAAAAGGAGGTTAAATTTGGCACATGCTTTTTGCATCTATTCAGATCACCAAATGACTTTTCTCTTTTAGTCTGGGGATATGATGAGTTACACTGATTTTCAAATGCTGAATCACCCTTAAATGCCTGGGATAAATTGCATTTTGTTATGTTGTATTACACTTTACTGTTTTTTCTATGTCCAATTTTATCGATTTGTGCCTTTATCTCTCATGTTCTTCTTTCCACCTCCTTTAAGTTTGACTTGCTTTTTTTGTCCTCTAGTTTTCTAAAGTGAAAGCTTGGTTTATTAATTCAACTCTTTTCTGTTTTATAGTATATTTATTGCTACACATTTCCCTCTACTAACTTTTCTTTTCTTTTTTTTTTCTGAGACAGAGTCTTACTTTGTTGTTTTCAGTAGAGTGCTGTGGTGTCATAGCTCACAGTAACCTCTATGTCTTGGGCTCAAGAAATCCTCTTGCCTTAGTCTCCCAAGTACCTGGGACTGCAAGCGCCCAGTTTTTGTTGTTGTTCGTTTGTTTTGTTTTATTTAGAGATAGGGTCTCACTTTTGCTTAGGCTGATCTCGAACTTCTGAAGCTCAAACAATCCACCCACCTTGGCCTCCAAGAGTGCTAGGATTACAAGTGTAAGCCACCATACCCAGCCTCCCTCTAATTATTAATTTACCTGCTTTCCACAAATTTTGATGTCCTGTGTTTTCATTTTAATTTGATTACAAATATTTTCTAATTTTCTTCATGGATTTCTCTTTGAAACATGGGTTCTCTATAACTGTGTGGTTTAATTTCCAAATATTTGGACATTTCCAGATTTTTTTTGCTTTATACCCTTGAAGCTATGTTGTTAGAATCATGCTAATTTAGAATGTTATATTTTCTTGATGGGTTGACTCTGTCATTATGAAATATCCCACTAGTTGTGGTGGTTCTTACTTTGAACTATACTATTTCTCCCATTAATGCAGCTAAAATGGCTTTCTTTCCGTTCTTGTCTGCATAGGATAATTTCTTCCATCATTTTACTTCCAGCTTTTTTGTATCCTTGTGTTTGAAATGGTTCTCTTGTAAGCAGTAAATAATTGTAGTTATTGTTAAGTCAGTCTGACAACATACTTGACATGTTTTGCCTCTTTATTTTTACTGTTATTGTTGATTTAGTTCGGTTTAAATCTTCATCTTACTGTTTGTTTTCCATTTATTTCATCTCCTTTATGTTCCTTTTTATTTTCCTTTATTCTTTCTTTTGAAATAAGTGTTTTTATTACTCTATTTCTCTATTAGTTTGACATACATCCTTGTACTTTTAGTAATTTTTCTGCTGTTTACAACATTCATCCTTAGCTGAAAGACTAGCATATATAAGTTCTTTGGTCACTTTCTACATATTGGTAGAATTTGGGAAATACACACTAACCTCAACTTTATCCCTCCCACCTTTGGTGCTTCTGTTGTCTATTTAAACTCTGTATATATGTGTATGTGTGTGTGTATTGATTTCACAAACCACTGTTGTTCTATACAACCAATGTTTATTAATATTTACTCACATATGTAACTATTTCAGGAGTTCAAGACCAACCTGAGCAAGAGCAAGACCCCATCTCTAAAAATAGCCAGGTGTTGTGGTGGGTGCCTATAGTCTCCTCTACTTGGGAGGCAAGATCTCTCAAGCCCAAGAATTTGGAGGTTGCTGTGAGCTGTAATGCCATGGCATTCAACTATAGGGTGACTGAGTGAGACTCTGTCTCAAAAAAAAAAAAAAAAACTTTATTTTGTTTGTATTTTTGAAGGATAATTTTCAAGGCCTAGAATTCTAGGAAGGCAGTTATTTTTCTTCAGTGCTCTTCTGGCTTCTATTGCTTCTGGGGAGAGGTCAGCCAAAGTTCCCCTTTGCTTCTTTCATGGTAACTTGCCTTGTTATTTTTCTTCTGGCTGTTTTTAGGATTTTCTCCTTTATTTTACTTGGCAGCAGTTTTATACACTATACGTAGGTGAGTTTTTAGTCATATTGACCCATCTTGGGTTTGTAGAGCTTCTCAATCTGTAACTTGGTGTGTGTGTGTGTTTTTTTTTTTAATCAGTTTTGGACAATTCTTGGCTATTATATTTTTAAATATTGTTTTGCTCCATCACTTTTCTCCTCTACCTTTTTTTTTTTTTTTTTGGAGACCTGATCTTGCTCTGTTGCTCAGGCTGGTGTGCAGTGGTGTCATAGGTCACTTCAACCTCAAACTCCTGAGCTCAAGCAATCTTCCTGCCTCAGCCTCCTGAGTAGCTGAGACTACAGGTACACACCACCAGACCTGGCTTGTTTTTCTATTTTTGGTGGAGATGGGATCTCACTTTTGCTCAGGCTGGTCTTAAACTCCTGACCTCAAGCAATACTCTTACCTGAGCCTTTCAAAGTAGTAGATTATAGGCACAAGCCATCGTGTCCAGCCTCTACTTTTGAGACCTGAATATATTTGACATTTTCCCTGTGTTTTCTTAAAAATATGTACTTCATGAAAGTGACCTTTATAAAATTAATAACAGGCTATGGTAGAGTCCTGAACTTTGCTAAGGTATAAGCATGGTTTTAAAAAGGCTACATGGGTTCAGCGCCCGTAGCTCAGTGGTTAGAGCACCAGCCACATACACCAGGGGCTAGCAGGTTCGAACCTGGCCTGGGCCAGCTAAACAACAATGACGACGACAACAACAACAACAACAACAACAACAACAAAGAGCTGGGCAATGTGATGGGTGCGTGTAATCCTAGTTACTTGGGAGGCTGAGTCAAGAGAATTGCTTGAGCCCAAGTGTTTGAGGTTGCTGTGAGCTATGACACCATGACACCACGGCACTCTACCCAGGGTGACATAGTGAGGCCCCTGTCTCAAAAAATAAATTAATTAATTAAAAAGGATACATGATAGTACTTCTGTAAGTACTACCACTCAAGGAACTGCAACAAACTGGCAACATATAAAGGTGATCATCATAAGGAACTAGGCCTATGGTACTGATATATACATGTGGTGTGTGTTGTTCTCAATAAATAAATAAGGATACATGATAGTACTTCTATAAGTGACCACTCAAGAAACTGTAACAAACTGGCAACATATAAAGGTGATCAACATAAGGAACTAGGCCTACTGTACTGACTGATATATACATGTGGTGTGTGTTTGTTCTATGAAAATTGCTATATTATACTGTACATTATATTTTTAAGAGGCATTTATTTATATAAAAATGCTGTTGTAGCCACACCTGGAGCCTAGATCCTTTGCACAGAGACTCAGCTGTGGGTCTTGACAAGATGGTTAGTGAATTCCTGGTAGGGAGACTTGTGAATATGGTCTTGGAGTCAGTAGCTGGTCTTGGAGATGGTGTCAAGAGTGGCCTTGGTGAAGTTGCCCAGGGTGGCAATGCAGCCCCTGACGGAGGTGTCGCAGTCATTGACTCCAGCCATCTGCAGCAGCTTCCTGGGCACAGGGGCTGAGTCAATGTCAGTTCCTCTAAGATAGTGGTTCTCAAACTTCTTAATGCCACAATGTATTTTCATTGTTGAAAAGGGGTCATGACCCACAGGTTGAGAACTGCTGCTTTAGGGGCAGGGATGAGATGTATCAGCACAGAGCCACAGTGGTCTGTCACCTTGCAAGGAATGTGCAGGGCTGCCAAGTTTATTCCCCCAGTAGCATCTCTGCATGGGGACAATGAGAGCTTGGCCAGGATGATGGCCCCTTGGGTGGCAGTGGCTACCTCCTTGGAGCACTTAACACCCTGACCAGCGTGGCCATTGTAGTCCCTGATGGGAACAAGCATCTTGAACCTGGTCAGCTGCCGAGTGCTAATGTGCTTTTGAACTGGCATAATTTTCAAAACCTCGTCTTTGAGAGATGTCCCTAGAAAAAAGTTAATGATCTCAGACTCTTTGATGGGCAGGGAGAAGAGATAGATCCCCTGTGGGGACTTGATCTTCATGTACTTGACCAGGCAGCTCAGCTTGGTGACAAGCATTTACTCCTTGTCCTCAGACTTGCCTTCTTGAGGTCCATAGCCTCAGCTGTGACCCTGACTGCCCCTGTGACCCTAGCCCTGGAGGCTGCTGCTGAATCCTCCATGGAAGCCTCCACTGCCTCAGAGGCCTCTGGCTGCACCACACCATTTGCTATTTGGTGTTTTCTTGGAGAAGAAGACATGTATCTTTTAAAGGAGGTCCCAGTGATCAATATGCCCATTAGCACAGAACATAAGAAGTATTCTGTTACATGGTGGGTGAATAAACTTAATTTCCTACAACAAACATATTCTAACAAATTTAATTTGCAAAACAAATAAAGAATGAGTAAATATAACTCTCCATAACAAACACAGTTAAAAGTTATTTCAAAGACAAAAACAATATATGAAAGTCAGGATGTCTCAAGGAGCTCCAAGCAAACAGGTAACAAGACTAGAATAAGTATTAATTTGTTAGGAAGGAAACTCCACCTCAATCTGGTTTAAATCTTAGTGCCCTCAAGGTAAAATTGGTTTGCTGCTACACAGTATGGCAAGGTCTGGAATTTGGGGGATTCACTGGGATACCACTTAATTTATTTTCATGTTCTGTTGTAAAAGTTTATGGAAAATTACAGCAACCTAATTAAGGCAGGACTGCCAGTGAATATCGAATAGGAAAGAAAGGTCATATCCTACCAACTAAAGAACCCTGTTCAGTAAAGAATAAGGAGAGCATGGAGCAAGGCAGTGGAAGGTGGCAGATGCCATTCTCACATAGATCCGGGAACCAGCTAGAAGCAGGGGTTGTAGCAGTAATACTTGTGTCATTGTTGCCCCTCCCCCACTACTTTATATGAAGACCATCACGGGTGACTAACTTTGTAAGTTTCAGAATCCTTTCCTCTAATGTCTTAGTCCTATTGGGCTGTTAGAACACACTACCATAGACTGAGTGGCTTGTAAACAACAAAAATTCATTTCTCTCAGTTCTGGAGGGTGGGAAGTCCAAGATTAAGGCATCAGCAGATACAGTGTCAGTGAGAGTTCACTTTCTGGTTCACTGACAGCACCTCCTTGCTGTTTCCTAACATGGCAGAAGGAAGGAAGTAGGGCTCTGGGGATTCTCTTTTAGAGGGCACTAATCCCATTCATGAGGCTCCACCTTTATAACCTAATTATGTCCCTAAGGCCCCTTCTCTTTTTTTCTTTTGAAACAGTCTCACTCTGTTGCCTCAGGCTAGAGGGCCATAGAATCATTATAGCTCACAGCAACCTCAAACTTTTGGGCTTAAGCAATCCTCCTGCCTCACAAGTAGGAGGGACTACAGGCACTGGCTACAATGCCGGTCTTATTTGTTTTTTAGTAGAGCTGGGGTCTCATTCTTTTTTTTTTTTTTTTAAGCAGAGCCTCAAGCTATTGCCCTGGGTAGTGAGTGCTGTGGCATCACAGCTCACAGCAACATCCAACTCCTGGGCTCAAGCGTCTCCTGCCTCACCCTCCCAAGTAGCTGGGACTACAGGCACCCGCCACAATGCCCAGCTATTTTTTGGTTGCAGCTGTCATTGTTGTTTGGCAGGCCCGGGCTCGATTCAAACCCGCCACCTTAGGTATATGTGGCTAGCACCTTAGTCACTTGAGCCACAGGCGCTGTGGGGTTTCATTCTTGCTTAGGTGGGTCTCTAATTCCTGAGTTCAAGGGATCCTTCCAACTTGCCCTCCAAGAGTGCTTAGATTATAGCTGTGAGTCACTGTGCCCAGCCACCAAAGACCCCTAGTCTTAATACCACCACATTGGGGATTAGGATTTCAACATATAAACTTTGAGGGACTCAAACATTCTGATCATCATAATGACCAAGCTGACATTACCCCACAGTGAACAGCAGCTCTTTTCCACCCAGACTGAAGAGAGGATGTTGAGAGGAAGAAGGTGCAGACTGCTGTGTTGCATTAGACTCCCCGCCAGGTCTTCTTTCCAGCTCCCATCTGCCCCCAGGAAGCTGATCTAAAAGGATTCTCTTTCATGGGTGGTCTTCAGGCTTCCATTTGGGTTGGTTGGGGTGGTGGCCATGGGAATGAGACACACCTGTCTTGATTTCCTTGCCTCTGTTTGGGGCACAAAATGTCAGGCTACTCCAGTGGCTGGAGGGAGGGGGAACCAGCATTCAGGAGTGGGGGTTCTCTGACCTCCATGCTGGAGGCCCACCGATGCTTGACAGGGTGTGTACTACCCTCTAAGAATATCCCCATGCAAGAGGGAGGGTGAAATTAAATGGCAAGTAAAAAGCAATGTGACAAGGAGAGAGGAAGAGAAAAAAATAAAGAAGAAAGGAGGGCTGGGGAGACTTACCTGAGGAAGAAAGGAAATAGTTTTACACTGTGATACCTGTAATGTCACTTTTGGCCTGCTTTTTGGACAGAGGGCCCCACATTTTCTTTTTGCATTGACCTTCTTAAGGCAGCATCTGTCCCTATTCTCCTTCTCTCTCTCTCTTTTTTTTTTTTTTTGCCTGGGCCTGGGTTTGAACCCGCCAGGTGCCCTACTCCTTCCGCTGCTCTCTCTCCTCTTTTTCCTCCCTCTTCCTCCTTTCTCCTAGTCCTTGGAGGAGCTGCTCCTCCCCCTTTTCCCCTTGGTCTAGGGAGGAGAATGAGGGTGATGCTAACTATGCCTTCCCGGCCCGGAGATTGTACTGGAGCTGCCATGTCTCTCCATCCCTTTGTACGTGGTTCTTTTACGAAATTTTCCTAATTTGAAGGTCACATCATTTTCCTGCTGGTGCTCAGAGTGCTACATCCTCTTACCTCCATCCCCAAAGACCTGATCTTTCTTCTGTGTTTCATAATATTTCCTGTCAGTTGTACGTATTAGAGCCATGTGTCTGAGAATCTCACACATTTTTTTCCGAACACCTAAGACATATCCAAGAGACTGGAGCTACAAATAAATGGTAGTTTGATAGGTTTATAGGTTTAAAGGCTGAGAGGCATGGTTGGAGCTGGATGCTAGGAATGACAGATCACAGACAGGATAAACCAGCAATAACCTGCTGATGGCAACAACATAACCAAATTGTTCAAAAACCTCCCTGTGCTGGGGCAGGAAACAAACAAAACTGTGGTGAAAGACTTTTGGGAGAGCAAAGAAACTTGTATAGGCCTCTCACTATCACATAAAAGTGCGAAATGGAAAACACGTGCTAGATAATCTTCATTCAGGGAGGAGTTACAATGCGGTTGGTGTGAGTTCAATGTTGGCGGAAACAGAAACCCATCTAAAACAAAGCTCGTTATTGATTGGCTGATAAAAATGTTGTGACCAGGGACTTGTGGGAACCTAAACCTATCTCTCCCCTAGGAGCAATGGTTCAGTATTCAATAATTCATTATTTGCAGCAACTGTATGATAATAACAAGAATCTACTGTGCTTCAATTTTTTGAGATTCAATACTCTTCTAAAAATCTAAATTCCATGTCAAGAGATGGTTTTTCTTTCTATTTTTTTGCTGAAGTCACAGACTGAAAAAACCAGGAATTTGAAAACTCCAACCACTATAAGCTCATGGAAAGACTGGTGAGTTGTTTGTAATCAGTAGTGGTTCCCCAACTCTACCAGGCACGGAAATCAGTTGTGGATGTGTTATGTGCAGGGGTCCCAGTGCCAGACCCACTAAATCAGTTTTTTCAGAGACAAGACTTGGGTATCTATCTTTTTAACAAGTACCACAAATTATTCTGTTGAGAAGTCAGATTTGGGAAAGACAGACACAGATCTTACTTATTATGTATCCATGTATTTCCGTTGTTTGTTTCTTTTTGCTCTTCTTTGCTACATTCTGGCAGCCCTGTGATTGTGTTCCTGGCTTACTTGCACTTCCTATTTGGCCCCTCTCTCTGGAATTTCTATAATATTTCTCTACAAACTGACAGTTTCTGAATTGATGACTCAGAGTGAAGGAAGGAGATCATTGCCATGTGCAAATTTCCCTCCAAATATGCAAGTGATTTAGGTCAGACGCTTCACCATATTTTAGAGACAGAGGCATGTTACATATTAGATACATGATGTGTGACTATGAAAATCCCAAGTGCCAGAAAGAAGAATTTTAACAGCATGTCTCAAGTAACTCTCAATATCAATGCTCCTGTATTTGATGAATTACTTCAGAAGAGTCATAAATTTTAAAAAAATTATTGTGAATAATTTAAAATATATGCCAAAGTAGAAAGAATAGTGTAATAAACTCTCGTTTCATCATCATATTGCTCCAATGTTTATTAATTCGTGGCCGACTTTGTTCCATTTGCGTGCTTACTTACTTCTCAGTGACCTGAATTAGTTTAATGCCTATCACATATGTCAGTGCCACTCAGTGAAAAATTATAACACCTTCTCAGTCAATATGCAGTGAACTGAGGAGACCCTGAGATGATGACACCAATAAGCACGCCTCACCCAGAGACAAGGGTGTGACTCCTCCCAACGAGCCTCGTAGGCTTTTATTGAAATCCCAGGCCTGAGAAAATAGCACAGTGGCAAGCTTCAAAGAGAGAAGCAAAGTAAAAAACAGGAAGTTTTTCTTTAACTGCATGATTGAACTCTTAGCACATTCTGTTTACTGCACTTCTGTCTTGCCTTTTCCTTATCACTGCTCCATAGGACTTAGGGCTGAGACAGTATGCTGGGTCGAGAGAGTATTGTTTTTAGTACTCGGGGCCAGCAGTGATGCTTGGCTTTTTCCCAGATCACTCTGTCCCTAGTGTCTCACACTTTTAACCCTATGCTCTATCCGACACCATAAATATTTTAATGCTTATATCTAAAAGATAAGAATTCTTTTAAAGACATGATTGACACGTTATAACGTCATTGTCACATCTAAAAGTAAAATAATTCCTTACAACAATCAAATATCCAGTTAGTTCAAACTTCTCTGTCTCATAATTTACGTTTTATAATTTGTTTGTTCAAATTGGCATCCAAATTGAAATTGGTTTTTTAAGTCACTGTCCTCTGTTTCTTTCCTACTTATT